TCCTTTATTGAACTTGCTTACCCAGAGCAATGTTGTGCAGAATGTGTGTTCCCTGTAGGCAGGCTGACAGTAAGCTTTGCGTGTGCTGTATCATCATGTACATGTACCACAAGTGTATTTATAGACTGGAGGAGGTTGAATTCATTCAGGGAAACTTCTGGGTTTCTTGTATAGGAAAAATAAGAAGTTCTCAGTTTGCAGCAGGTTACCAGCATTCAGTAGTGGTATTTGGCAGCCACAGTAAATTGTTAATTCAAGGAAGCTCTACTGTGGATAAGTTTAATACTTAATGATTGGATAAGGGTCTTCACAGATATACTTTCATCAAATATTTGGCAGATGTTTGGTACTGCTAAGGAAGGCTGGTGTTTGATCTGTGTATAGATTCTTTGATGTCAAGGAGGGTAGTTTTCTGTACTGAGATCTATCAGGGTCACTGCATTAGGGTGTTTTTTGTTGCTGGTGATTTTTTGGGATCTCCCTCTTCTCATTTCCTCCCTCTGGTCTTCTAAGGGTTTCTTGTATTGAGATGTTAGCACTTGCTTTTATTTTTTTTTTAAGGTTTCTCAGAAGTTCAGCGTGTACTTCCTGAAAATGAAAGAAGAGAATCTCATTTTCTGCTTCAAAGCTGCCTTTAAAATCTCTGCATTGCTTTGTTTTCAGGGTGTTCTGTAAGCAATCAAAGGCATTTGAGTGTACAACAGACCCATCTCAGTCTGATCTGCTTTCAAGTGTAACCATATTTGTACATGCTGATGCCTGTCTTATGTCTCCGTTTCATTCTTTTTCAAGTCTGTGTGACCATTTCTTTAAGATCCTAATAAGCAGTTTTCCCTGTTGGGTACCTCAGTGGGAGTAGATAATTACTACACAGAGTCATGATTTGATCTAAATGGGCAGGCAGTCCCAGCTGTAATGAGTAAGTCTTCCACATTTCACATTCTTTGTGGTCTAGGTATAAGCACGTGTACCTTTGCTGTGTTTGTACATTCCTGATGGTCTGTTTGTTGCAGGCATGCTTGTAAAATGTGTTACAATTCCCAGACTTCAGTGAAATTACATCTTCTTCTCTCTTTTCTCTTCAAAGCAGAAATAAGATTCTTGGACCAATGTGGCATCTTGCAAGAATGCACCTAATAAGAGCTCATTTTTGCTTGAACAGTAGATCTCAAGATCCTGGGTAGCAAACACCTTTGTGTCAGAGCTGACATTGTTATCTCTGTCATTGCAGAATACGGGGTCTGTGAAAACCTGCGGAAGTTGGAGATCACAGGAGTGTCCTGTCGAGATGTTTATGCCAAGCGTAAGTGATAAAGCTGATATAGATCCATATGTCCTTGCTTAGTACCAATTCTGAAAGCATATATGTGTTGAATATTTATTAAATGTTGACAGCATAAGTTATTTGGGCTTACGTGCTAATGGCATGGGATTCATCTGTGAAATTGATACGTCTGGAGTTTCATTTAATCCTAAGCAGATGCCAAGAAATGGGATTTCTATGCCCCTCAATCCCTTGGTGGGAAAAGAAGTGTAATTTAACTTTATTATGAAGTGTATTGGAGTTTTTTCGTCCTTTCCTGTTTTAACATTGTCAGATCTTGCTAAGGAATTAACTGGTATTTTTTCGTAGCCCTGATGTAGCTAAGTCTTGATCGCAGTCAAAGGACACTGTTAGACGCTGTCAAGTGGGAAAGCACAGTAGGTAAAGGAATGAGCATTCCTCTGGGCTGCTTTTGAAGGAGGAACTGAGTTTTAGGAATGTTTGAGGGAGTAGAACCCCAAATCCTTAGACCCACTGTGCCTTATGCAAGGCAGATGCACATCTTCTGACTTACAGTAAGGAGGGGTGGGGACATCATCAGATGAGAGAAACCAAGGTAAGCTAAGGGCTGAGTGGAGGCCTAGATCCATGGTGAGGCTGTCTCCCCTTCACCAAACTGTGCCCTTTGCAGTCAGAAGCTGGGCTGGTTGCTCAGAGAGCCTTGCAAAGCCCCCAAGAACTCCCATACCAGCACTGCCAAGCTGTGTTGTCTTGATTCCCCACCACAGATCTTGTAAAGGACTGACTTACCTGTGGTCCTTAGGATAAAAAACAAGATACAACCTGCAGCACTTGAACTATGGCTTCTGGCTGTTTGAAGAAGGTTCTGCTTTATGAAACAAAAGCAGAGAGGTCACTCATGAGAGGTCTCCATAGGTTTGCAGACCCAAAATCTGGCTCAGCTTCTACATGTACTGTGCTTGCTAAACCTTGAAGTAGCGATGACCTCAAGCATTGATCTTAATGCTGGAAAGAAGAACAGGCAGAAGGGTTTTAATCCCATGTTTAATAGACTTGCTGAGCATCCACAGGAAAATCAGGCAGGATTTGTCTTAACACATGTTTCCAGTCTTCTGTTGTACTGAAGTAGTTTCTGCATTTGTTGGCAGAGAGCTGCACTTGACATGCGAGAACCACCTCTGTGACAGACTTTATTGCACTTCTGAGTAAGGACTGTGTCCATATCCATTCAACAGTCCTAACTAGCAACGGCAAATCTAAAGTGAGAATACTTCGCCACAGTTTCTGGCTTTCAGGGATGCACCATCTCTGCTCTCCTGTCCAGATTCAACAGTTTGTCCTGTTGCAGGCTCTTAGTGGAACAGTTTCCTGGTGATGTGACCCCGTTTTCTCTATTGTCCCATAAACCTCTTTAATTGCAGAAGAATTAATTTGGGGTTACTGGCAGGACTCACATGCACTTTTCTGTCCACTGAATGTGTTTCTCTAAGAAGTAGTGTGGGAAATGGGAAACTGAGTTTAAGTTCCAGAAAGCATAACTAATCCAAGGCCTGGGCTACTGTCATGTACTTACTTGGTCTAAGTGACTTTCTTGAGGCAGCACTGCTCATTACAGTCCCACTACGGAGTTTGAAGAGGACCCTGGTTCTACTTTGAATTCACTGGATGCCATTTATGCATACTTTCTGTGTGAATCTTGAGCATACCAAGCTCTGTGTGAGTAATCCTGCTAACTCAGGTATACCTGAAACTGGGGCTGATGGAAACAAATAGTGCCCCACAACTGGAAGTAAAGTCAAAATAGAGTTTGCCTTTCCTGTGTGGTTGGTCCAGGTACCTCATACTGTTAACAGTGCTGGTTACAGTGGAGCAGAGTTTGCTGGTACTTACCCTGCTGTGTCTGTTCAGGTATAAACCCACGAGTGAAGTCGGGGCGTTTTATGAAAATCCTTCCCGACTACGAGCACATGGAGTACAGAGATGTTTACACCTGCCGTACGTACCTCCTGCTGGTTGATGCTTCCTGCACTAAGCACACACAAGATGCTGCATGGAGTGTGACGTGGCTTTAAGCAAATTATTTTGGGGTGGACCTTGGGATAGTATAGAGGGTGCTGGTTAGTCAGTTCATGCTGTTGCACGTTAGGGGAGTATTCTGACTCTTTAGAGTGACAATGAGAGTAGGGCAGGCAGTGAGGTATGTTGAGTCTCCTTTTGAAGTGCTTTGAGTTAGGAAATTGTGGGTCTCTCTTCACAGAAGGGGAGCACTCTGCTCTTCACAGGTTGCTCCTTTCTGAGAAGGAAATCTTCAGATACCCTGGTGAGGGCTCCCAGAAGCAATTTTAAATAAGCTCTGGACTGGCAAAAACCTTTCTCTTGATCCAAGTAAGAGGCATTTCATTCACAGCCCTTTCCAGTGAAAAATGCTGAGGGTTACTGTACTAAGTCCCTCCCTGCACAATGAATCCTTTTAACCACCATCTCCATCTCTAGCAAACATTCTGCTGGTGTTTCAGAGCTTGTGATTTGCCTTCCTTAGTCAAGAAGCTGCTTTGGGTGAACTCTTCTCGCCCTCCTACTGTAGTGTTGAGGGAAGAATATTAAAACGCTGGAGTTCAACACTCACTGTTCAGCATGAATTGGGGGGAAATACTGATTAGTTTACATCAATTAAGGAAGTCACTACTGCTTGTGTTTCAGAGGGGGTGTTGAGACTTCTCTAATGCTCCTCTGGGTCTGCAGAGTTTTGCTGAGTCAAGTTACTAACCCACTGGTGCTTGGGAATGTAGTTTTTCACACATGCTAATGAGTGACGTGGATGCTGCAGACTTACCTGTGCTAGAGAAAGCAGTCAAGCATGTGCCACAAAGGGAAGATGGTGTCTTTAATGTGAGTCATGACAGAGAAGCAGCAGCAGTGCTACTGCAGGAATTGGTAGGAAGGTTTAGGTTTAGCAGCCCTGCACATCAACAGCAGCCTTGTTCTGGAGCTGGGTGGGAAGGAGAGGCACATCCAAGCTGCCCTGCAGGGTGAGGGATTCCTTTGTAGACTACTACCTGGGTGTTTGCCCCAAATGTGCTCCTTTTGGTGCCTCTCAAGTGGCATTTTGTGCTGTTCCCTCAGTTAATTGTTTAGCTGCAACCCCAAACTTTGGATGTCTCATGCCCCTTTTCTCTAGGGGTGTGTTGGATTACTCTGGGAAAAGCCAGTGTGGTTTAAGATGCGATTGCCCATTTCCTCCTTTTTCCCTTCCTGTCTATTAAGACCTTGTTGCCAGGATTTACCGTGAGTGCTCCCTAATTTGTATTCATGCAGCATTAGCCAGGTCAGCTCAGATTGCTTCCCCCAGGGTTTTAAACTAGCCTGGCTAACACTTAGCATTTCCCACTAGCAGGTCAGTTATCACCAGCTGGGGGGCAGCAACTGCTTGTATTATCCCAACTCATTTTGCTTATACATATCTTGCTGCATCCTGAAAGGCCCAGGGAGATGTCGTGGATCAGGTTTTTTCCACTCAAAGTGATCTACCTCTGCTTTAAAGGCTGCAGATCTCACTGACAACTCGCGTTAGGTTTTTGCCTTTCTCTGCCTGTGCTCTCCGTTACTGAGCATAGTAATGAAATAAGAGAACAGATTTGAAAGCACCTGCTCTCCTATTTTTATAACCCATTCTGGGGTTATAACTTGTGTGTTCATACCTGTAGTGTCTGTGGTGTGCCAGCACTGCAATGCTTGCTTGAATCGCTGTGCATTTGCTCAGTGTCACCTCCTTGTCCTGTGTCTTAAGTCTTAGTGAAGAGCACAGGCATTAGACCTTTCCCAGGCAGCCTTCTGTTGGTGGGAGCTTGGTCATTTACTGCTTTTCCTCGCCCATCCCCAGCTTGGATTCAAGCTGCCTTCCCATCTGAAGAGCGTGCAGGGTTTCTTGTGGCAATGTGGGTATTATCCAGGCTGGATGGATGGAGGTTGTACTGAAGCATCCAGTGCACGTTATTTGTGCTCCATTTGGGAGGATTTGGGCTCAGATAGGCAAGAGGCTTCCTCAGGATTGAGGAAAATGGACAACATGTACAGCAGAGGACAATGCTGGAGAAAGACACAAGCGCTGTTTTCTTTCGAGGAGCAGGGAGGGAAACAACTGTCAGATCCATCCTGTCTCCCGCCAGGAACAGCCAGAGCTGGAGTTCATCAGGCTTTCCCTGCTATGAATATAGCTGCTGGCTTGCTGGAGCCCAGAGACAGTCCAGGCTTGAAAGTGGAGCTGTGCTTTTGCTTTGAGACTTGTTTGGGCCTTTGGCCAAGTACCAGCATTTTCCCCAGTCACTTCCTTTCCTGAAAGAACAGGAGGAGGAGTCCACAGCGTCCTGAGCAAGTGAGGGACACGACTTGTCCATTAAGGTCCTGCTGTTGGTGTGTAAACCAAGCACAGAAAGTGCTGTCCAATGGGCAGGATTCTTTTGAAGGTGAATGGGGCTCTTTTGGCCTCTTCCCTCCTTTGGGCTTCCAAGTGGTCGGGACAGATGGTGGAACAGACTCAGCCATGTGTCTGTGCCTCAGCCATGTTTCCTGAACCATGATTCCTGGTGAACTGAGCTGCAGCTGGAGCCAGCTGTTTACTCCAAGTGAGCACACAAACTGTCTTCAGCAGGCATGTGGCTTGCAGCAGAAGGGCTTGCCTTGTCACACAGGTACTTACCATGATGTTGAATAGTCCATCAATTGCAGCTACAGCTCTGAAAGTGCTTGTGACAGGAGCTGGGGAGGAGGGACAACCTCATCACTCTTGGATAGCTTAGCATCAAGATTTCTGTCCTAAAAGTAATGTTTTTGTAAAACTGGGTTTTATCAGGTCCATGACAGACAGGGTAGAAGGGAGCTGGGTGTGCTGGGTGGTTCAGCCTGTGCTCATCCCCTTTATTAATGTGAGATTACCACACTGAGATGACAAGACTGGGAATGTGGTTTGCTTGCTTGCCTCAGTGCTGTTTGTGCTGCTCTTGGTTCACTGGGTCATCCAGGCCATCAATCTTGAGTTGTTTACTGCAGAGGAAAAAGGCTTCTCCAGGCGAGTTGGCAGCAGCTCTTGACAACCCTCCCTGCTGTCCTAAACCTTTGTGGAAGTTCTCTGCTTTGGTGTAATAAATCCACTCTTACAATTCTTGTTATCTTCAGTAGTAAATGAAACAAAGTTGTAGCAACTGCACTGAAACACAGTTCTCCCTATAAACTGATGCAAAGCAGAAACTGTTCATCAAGCCAGTCCTGTCGGTTAAATAGGTTATTGTGACCTTGTGAGTTGGCCAAGAGCATCATTTTAAGGCAAGAGTAGTATCTTCCTGACACCTACATAGAAATTTGCATTCTAGTCCTGCCCAAAATGTCAGATTGTGCTGGTCCTGTCAGGAGATGGCACGGACAGAATTAATGGCTGACCGTATAAGGACTGGAGGCTTATGAAGACCATTTTGTACATTTTCTCCTGCTTGCTGAAGATGTTCCTACTTGTCCTTTTTTGGTGGGATTGAAAGTGCACCTATGTCTGAGATGACAAACAGAGAAGCTTCACCTGCTGCAGTAGGCTTTGAGGGCAAATTTGGAGCAGCTTTTGGGCGGTGCTGAAATGTAGCTGCTTAGATTTTCTTAAGGCCGTTACTGACACGGTAACACCACCAGATCTCCCGAGCTGGAATGGTCTGCACGCTTTGCTGGCTGTTTTTAAGGATGATGCTGAACTCTGGAGACAACTTTGTCTACATAAAGCAGAGAAATGCTTTCAAAATATTCAAATTCCCCTGTTCCTTACTGCCTTTCTGTTCTTTCTTATTTTCTGTTGCTTTGCAGCCTAAGGCATCAAGAACATGTTTTGGAGACAGCAGTTACTTTATTTGTTTTTAGCTCTGATCATATGATTTGCATTGATGGGACTGTGTTTTCTGTGAATTTGTGGTGAGGTTTGTGTTTGTGTGAAGTCCTGGAAACTAAGTCCTGGAAACTAACTCCTGCACCGGCCCGGGAGCAGGGCTGCAGAGAACAGTGTAAATCTCTGTGAGCTTGTGGGAGGCCTCAGTTCAGAACTGCCTGGCTGTGGTTTGAAGTAACCAGTTTTCATCAGTAAAGGCAGTTGTGGGTGGTGTTGGGGCAGTGTTGTGTGCGGTCCCGTAGCTGTCTTTTATTTTCTTTCCCCAAATCCCAATTCCTTAGTGTGATGTGCTCACTCCAGTGTCTCACTGTTCCCTAGTGCTGCACCGATACCGACACATCCTGGGGTTATGGCAGCCGGACATCGGGCCCTATGGGGGACTGCTGAACGTGGTGGTGAGTGAGTACCTCATCCTGGGGGCTGTGGTGTGGAGGACTCGTGAGTCTTCTCTATACAACTTTCTAGACCTGGATGTTGCCTCTGTGCTGTTGAGAATTCTGGGTAGTCAGCCCTGAAGCAAGTGATAGGGACCCAGAGGTTGCTTCTTGACCTTTCATGATCACCACCTTTCCGCAGAGAGTCCTTTTGTGTTTCAGCTGTACTCCAAGCAGCCACAGGAGCACACAGAAAACACGAGCAATGTTTCAGGGAAAGGCTTGATTCAGAGTTCAATGCTGTTAATCCGGTTCTGTTAGCACAGAAGTCCATTCGTTGTGTGTGGAGGACAGCAGAGGTTTTGGCACTGGGCAGTCACTTACTGCATTGTCTTTGCCTACAGCTGAACATTTTGCAGAGGGTTTTGCACCTGTTTTTGTGCACCTCTCCTTCCTGTCTTTCACCAGCCATGTCTAAGACTTAAGCCATCAGATGTCATGATACAGGGGCATGACTGGTGCAAGACCTGTGGAGCCTGGCAGCTCTTCTGCTGCTGGGGAGAGCAGTTAATGAACAATGAACAACATTTGACTGTTGGTGAGAGCTGGGCCAGAAGTTTGCCTGAGGCCCTTGTTCTTTGCACCAAGGTTCAATAGCTGACAAGTTGAAGTGTAACAAATCACGAGCGAGGCCTTTGGGTTTTGCAAGATTCTGTTCCATGAACTAGTAGAAGAGTGCATCCAGGTACACCAATACTTACATGATAGTGACCTTATAAAGACAAGAGTGCCTCTGTGGTGCTGCTCCTCTTTTGTCTCAGATCTCTTTGTCTGGAAAATATCCTTTCTCTGGAATTGTTGGGCTAGAGGGGATGGGTTCTGTTAGGCATGCAGGAAAAGGGCTGGCACTTCTACCTCAGTAGAGGAGATTGTTGCTTCCTGTGCTGTCTGTTAGTAATAGAACCAAATAATTCCTTGTCCAAGAGACATGGATAATCATGAGAAGCAGAATTTGTCTGCTTGAGTATCTGCCAGCATGAGCTCTCAAACCAATTACAGTTTGACTAGCTGTGTGGTCTCTTCAGTGCAGCCTCTCCCGGTGGATCCTGCACACCAAGCATCCGTCACAAAGTCGTTTGCAGTAATAACGGCCTGATCATTTTCCAGTGGTGCAGGAAGCCTTGTAAACAAACCTTCTCCCTCTTCACCAGGGGTGTGCTGCGAGTGCATATGGTCTGGTTTAATTGCTGGAAAGCAGTTTGGAAATGCAGCAAGCTGTTCCACAGCTCCCACCCTGTTGCAGAATAGGCCCCAGAGCTGTTTGCTGCATACTCAACAAACATGCAGAGCTGATCTCATGTGCTTTTTCTCCTGCCTCTCTGCAGGTAGATGGTTTGTTCATCATCGGGTGGATGTACTTGCCACCTCATGACCCTCATGTTGATGATCCGATGAGGTTCAAACCTCTCTTCAGGATTCATCTCATGGAGAGGAAGTGTGCAACGGTTGAGTGTATGTATGGTCATAAGGGACCTCATAACGGCCATATCCAGGTGAGCTGCTCTGGCACTTTCAGCATCATCCATCCTATGTGTGATCCCGTGTGTGATCACGCACATTGGCTCTGGAAATGGGTTCATCAAAAAACTGCATGAGAATTTGATTTAAGGGATATGGCTTTCACCACCTTGTTGTATGTGTGGATGCCAGCTTTATGCTCATTATGTGTCTGGCAAGTTGTGTGGGCTGTTCCCCACTCTGAATTTGTTCACTGGCAGTAGTACAGCAAGGCTGTTACACTGTCTTCTGTTGGGTTGGAGCATGGTGAGAGTGTGGGAGCACCAGCATGTGTACAGGCAGGGGGAAAGGATATGTAAAATGGCCTTGTGCAGGTGGTGAATGTGTCCAAGCAGGCACACAGACCTATCCTGTTTTACAGCTCTCTCTTAAGATATGAGACCTTTGAGAGGGTGATGTAGCATCCACTCAGTACATTGGATGCTTTGAAAAGGTTCCTGAGAGCTTGTTTCCTTTTCTTTTGAAGAAGGAAGCTGAAGTAGAGAAGTAACTTAAACCTATTATCTTTCATTACAATGCATTGGGGTTTTATTGCTTTTATTTCTCATTTGCTTAATGATTTCTCTGTTACAGTAAATTCAGTAATGTTTGTCGTGTAAAGCTTTTACTCTAAGCAGTCTTACTTACGTCATCCTAAGCATCTCTAAACAGATTTGTAACCTGTTAAATTCTCCCCCGTGATAACTACAGATTGTAAAGAAGGATGAGTTCTCCACGAAATGCAACCAGACAGATCACCATCGGATGTCTGGGGGAAGACAAGAGGTATGAGTCCTTTGCCAAGAGTCTGCATTCAGGCTGTTTGTTTGTCCCCCTTCTAAAGATAAAGCATTTCTGTCTTACCTAAGCTTTTAGGTAATGTTGGCGTCAGGGAGGTGGTCTTCTGCCTTCTACCTTCTGTGTATCTGAGCATGCATGAAAACCCAGGCTGGTAGCTTCTATCTGATTTACTAGACTCTTTTTTAAGTGAGTTGAATCAGTCTGTGACTTGAATCAAAACTTCAAGTGGTCACATTTGAGTAATAGCAGGATCTTGGGGGACCTCTTCTGTACTTGCCAAGGTGTGGTTTAAGGATCCTGTATATAGGATCAGTTCAGTGTTGCACCTGCAGAATGTCTGGGTGGAGACCCCATGCCTTAACCTCAGTGTGTAGCAGGGTGTTGGAGCAGGCTGTTAACGTCCATGCTGTTGAGCAAAAAGCTGTTTTAGGCAGTCCTCTGTGCAAGGTGCTCTTTGAACCCCAGCACCCTTTTCCTTCCTGTGCTGTGACACCATTCCTG